CACAGCCCCGGCTGGGCAGGGACGTGCCCGGCAGCCCCCGCACCCGACGCAGAGGCCCAGAGGAGCTGAGGGGCACCGGGAGCCCCTCACCCCCGCTGTCAGCGGAGACCCCCCAACGCCGCCCCAGCTTCGGTGCCTGCCTGAGCCCAGCTTACGGGCTGGGCTCTCCAGCCATGCCCTCACCCCGGCAGAGCCCCCGTGCCCCCAGGAAGCCCTTGGGGGACCCACGGCCACCACAGGGGCCACGAGAGCGCAAGAACAGCATCACCGAGATCAGCGACAACGAGGATGAGCTGCTGGAGTACCACCGGCGGCAGCGGCAGGAGCGGGTACGGGAGCAGGAGATGGAGCGTCTGGTGAGCCCCGGGGCCCTGGTCGAGTGTGGGACACCCTCTTTGCAAACACCTTTTGGCTTTTGCTGCTTTAAACCCGGCCTTGCCTCAGGGATTTGCCATGGCTGACGGCTAATCCAGGGGATTACGGCCGGGAGTGGCGGTCGGTGCACGGCCGCGCTCCGGGAGCACAAGGCAGCCCAGGGAAATCGGCGGGGTCGGCGGGGCTGCCAGCTGGAGCTGCAGTGCCCCTAGCACTGCAAAACCATCCATGTCTCGTCTGGCCCTGCCAGGGCTGCATCTGCCGGCGGCGGTGCCGTGGCTTTGTGGGCATTGCATCTATATTTAGGGTAGATGGAGTTTTTATGGAGCCGGCAGCTGCCTGGGTGGGGTTTGCCCCGTCCATCTGCCGGGGCCAGGTCCGTGCTGCCGGAGCCGTTTGCTCAGCCCTGACTCACGCCTGGCGCGGGCGGCCTGAGTCACTGCCTGGAAATAGCTGAGCCGCTCGGCGGCCGGTGCTGCCGCCTGTAATTAGCCCGTCTCCAGCTCCCGGTACACGGCATGACTGGCTCTGGCGTGGGGTCGGGGTGGGCTGCATCGGGCTCTGCAGTGTCCCCAGCTCGCTGCAGCGTGCAGGGAGGGTGAGGAGCGAGCCTGCATCCCAGTGCCTGCCGTGGGCACGGGGTCCCACAGGCTCCAGAGGCGGCACGTGCTGGAACAGACTGTTCTCCCCCTCAGGAGCGGCAGCGCCTGGAGACCATCCTGAACCTCTGCGCTGAGTACACCAAGACGGACGGCACCGAGCCGGGCGATGTGCACCGGCTCCTGGCCGGCAACGCGGATGCTGGCCAGCGGGTGCCCAGGGTTGCTGTGGCTCTGGGCCGTGCCGCCGAGGAGCTGCGGCAGAGGGAGAGCCTGGAGAGGTCAGATGAGGAGAACCTGAAGGAGGAGTGCAGCAGCACCGAGAGCACCCACCACGAGGTGAGGGGATGGCCGCGCTGCGCCATGCCGTGCCGCACTGGGCCATGCTGTGCTGACCTGCTCTCTCTGCAGCACGAGGAGCTGGCGGGCCCCCGGGCCAAGGAGGCGCAGCGGCTGGAGGAGGAGCGTGCCGGCGTGCTCAGCCGCCTGGACCAGCTCAAGGGCCATGTCAAGGAGCTGGAGCAGCAGCTGCAGGAGACTTCACGAGAGGTGAGGGGATGGGGGGCCCTGCCTGAACCCCGCTGCTCGCCGCCCTTGCCAGCGGCGCCCGATCCTGTGGGCACAGACATCCTGACGTGGCCGTGTCGGTCCAGGCGGAGATGGAGCGGGCGCTGCTGCAGGGTGAGCGGGAGTCAGAGGCGGCGCGGCTGCGGCAGGAGCAGGATGCGGCGCAGCAGCTGCAGGAGAAGCTCTCCAGCCTGGATTCCAGCATCCAGAAGGAGCGGGACAAGGTGAGCCCTGGGGCAGGGCTCCCTGCTGCACCGGGTGTGCCGGGCCCTCCCCGGTGCTCATGGCCAGTGCCATGGAGCCCCGTGCCCCTGCAGACACCTTCTCCTGCCCCTGAGCTCTGCAGAGGCGCCGAGGAGCATCCCTTCTGTGTTTGCGCCGTGATGGGGGAGTCTGTCCGTCTGTCTGCCTGGGCTGGTCTGGAGGAGGGCAGGGCTGGTGCTTGGGGTGCACTCAGCCGCCGTCTGTTGCGCTGGCGCAGTTGCGGGGAGTCTCTGTGCCACAGGGCTCTCCCGGATGGCTGCTGCCTGCAGCAGGTGGCACCGACCCGGAGCAGGGGCCTTGGCACTCCCTGTTCCCTGCCCTTGCCGGGGGGCTGTGTCTTGTGGTGAGTCCCCCCGCTCTGCTGCCTGTCGGGACATCTCCACACATGTTGGCAGCTGCTGCTGTAGCGTCCAGCCCACTGGAGGTGGTGGGGAAATGGCTGCAGGTGTTTCCCTTGGTTCGGTGGCCGAGGTGGGGGTTCCGGCCCCTTTCCCTGGTGTCTTTGAAGAAGTTGCTGCTGTGATCTGCCAGCCGTGCCTGAGGGCACCTGTGCCACGGCGTGCATGGCACACTCTTCCTGGCTCTGTGTTGCTGGCCGTCCCGCAGCCTTGTGGCCAGCATGGCCCAGCCCTGGGCAAGCTGCTCTGGGGCGTGAGAGCCACCAGGACCTGGCTCCCTGCTGCCGGAGCTCGGCATCCCTGCGCACCCTGCGCCCAGGTCCTGTTGGCGGCTCTGTCCTGTCGTGATGGGTGCTGGTGTCCCTGGGGGCCTGGCTAGCCCCCTTGGCCTGCTTGGTTACCATGGTTGGGCAGAGCTGCCATCAGCATCCCCGCAGCTTTTGGAGTTTTGTTCTGGTTTTGTCCTTCAAGCCTTTTGCAGGCACCTTCTCTAGTGAGGGGCAGCCTCATGCAGGGCCAGGAGAGGAGCGCAGGGACATCCCCCTCCCACCTTCTCTGCTGGCCTGACCACCCCCTTTCCTAGCCAGGCTGCGCTGATTGCACTAACGCTGCCTGCTCTGGCACCTGCTGTCGCCTCTGACACCTCTGCACGCCTGGCAGCCTCCTGGGCCCCACCGCCGCGGTCCCGGGGCACCCGACTGTGCCAGCCCCGTCTCCCGCCAGCATGTCCCCTGGATCCCTTCTCACAGATCGCCCGTGGCTCCGCAGCGTGGCAGGGGTGTTCCTCGCAGCACGCGTTTCCCAACACCTGGCCCCGTGATTCCCCGTGTCAGCCCCTTGTTGCTGGCCTCCATCACAGCCATGGGAGGGAGGGAGGGCGGGCTGGGGACGCTTCTCCCGGGGCCAGGAGCGAGTGTCGGATCTGCCACTAACTCGGCGTAGCCTGAGCATCTCCAGCGGCAGGGCTGCACCTCAGCCTCCCGTTTTCACTGCCAGCCTGCAGGCCTCCATCTCCTTCCGAGGGATCGGGGTGGCCCGTGGTGCCTCAGCCAGTGTCCGGGACCCGCTGTGCCCACCGGGCGGCATCACCGACCGTGAGCATCAATTAACACATCTCGTTGGCAGTTCTGCGGAAGGTGCAGGTGCTGCAGCTGTTTGCAGGACCGGGCTGACTTTATCCATGCTGTCAGCATCGATCTTTTTGCTGCCTGTAAGTGGGTTTCCGGCATGGAAACGCGAGGCTGAGGTCGAGGGCTGGCCGTAACCCCTCTAACGCCGCCCAGCCTGTCGCTTTCTTGACCCCGCCATAGATGCCCCCTCCCAGCGAGCCTCCTACTTCTCCAGCTGAGCCCCTCTAACTGCAGCTTCTGCATGGCGCCGATTTGAGAAGTGTGTTCTCTCTTTTTTTCTCTCTCTTTTTTTCTCTCTCTTTTTTTCTCTCTCTTTTTTTCTCTCCCTTTTTTCTCCCCCTTTTTTCTCCCCCTTTTTTCTCCCCCTTTTTTCTCCCCCTTTTTTCTCCCCCTTTTT